TCATAATCATTATTGGCTTTATGGGAAATTCATCAAAACTGCTGGGTGATCAATAATGTTGCAAAACATATCCATGTTCCAATTTATTCATAGAATCTGAGTATTATATCCAGCGTGAGTGTTGCCTCCAAGCTTGTAACACCTTTGGTATAATAAACATGATAGGTAGGAGCAAAGCACTGTGAGTCAGCTGATATTTACCCACCATTCATTTTTTTCTATAGCCCCTCCATGATAGCCACTTCATTATTCAAAGGCCAACCACACAATTAGCAGCAGCAGATCCTATTGCGAAGCAGTCCCGCTAGGACCAATCAATGCTATTAGATCCGTCAATGTGATTAGACACACTCCTGTATCTTTCTTATTTCTCCCTCAAACTGCTTGTGCTAGAAAAGGTTGTCAGGCTTGTTGCCTTTAATTTTCGCACCATTGATCCAATCCCATGCCAAATCAGGCAGGTATATTGCAGGAGATATAAACGAAGAGACAGGTTGCATTGGATGTTGGTAATAGGGGCTTTAACAACTATATCAAAGTCTTTGGGTGGAACTTTCAACCACACTAGCTGCATGGCATCCACGGATGTCACAATGTTGGCTAGTCGACTGGCTTTAGACTGAAGTAGCTCAGCATTTTTTACATTTATGGTTCCCAGATGATGAAACCTGCTGTGACTTTTATGATCCCCTGATTTTTCCTTTAGCACCGCCTTGAGCTCGACACTTCTGTTTTGTGTGTAATGTCTCAACAAATATTGGATTGCTCGCCATCAAAGTTGGCTCCGGATGAATTATGATCCCCTGACTATACATTAACAGACAGCTTCAGAGTCAGCTCCCTAGTCAGCAGTTGTGACAATTGCAAGTCCTAAAGCCCGACAAAAATCGGTGGACCTCAGAAGTTTAAAATACAATCCATTCACTCAGTTAACTGTTGTGATACACAAACCCTTATTCACTCGTGGTATACCCTGTGAATCAGCAGTAAACATCTCACCTTGCTTCTCTGACTCTGTCTCTGTGTACCTGTTATTTTCGAATCCTGCCCCTTTTCTCACTTTTCCTCCGTGCGTCAACATAAAACTAGTTTGATTGTGACTTGAAAAAGCCCAAACGGAGCGGCAGCAAAGCTTTTGTACTCACTTCAAATGGAATGTGATAAGCGACTGTGCGTACAGAATGTCTGAATAGATCTCCACTGCTATGGTGTCAGAGATTCACCTCAAGTCTTCACAAAAAAACGTTATGTCTCAGTGAGGCCAGACGCATTCTCAGTCGTTTCACCGAGAGTGACCTCGAGGTGAGATGAGAGGGAGGAGCTTCCCTAAACCCGTTGCCACAGTTTACAATTACTACAGGCAAAGGAAGGCAGCTGTGGATTTTGTGTATCGGCAACATCTGTGGTTAGAGAGTCTGTGAATGCATCTGGCCCACCCTATGCGTGATCTGTGTGTATGTGCACACCGCTTGTGCAAATCTGCCACCGGTGTAGAGCTCTCCACCAAAGACCATCCAATTTGGGCTGGCCCTCTTTTAAAACCCTCTTACATAAGCCACTGCTCTCAGATGTGTGATATCATGGAACTATTTTTGGGCTTTTCCTTTGAAAAAGGCTGTACAGAGTTAGATAAAGACTGGCCTGTTCTTTAAATAAAACATTGGAGCTCCCTCTCATATTGTCTTAATACACGGTCCAAACACAATTGTGCCACAGCTGACCTGTAGACTTTGGCTTTTTTGAGATGTCAGAGAAGAAAATCTTTCATTTCATTGTAGAAGACTTTAGCCCTTCTCATCAGCTGACCTGGATTCAGCGGACAAACAAGATATATCTTTGTCACTGTCCTAGATTTTGCTCTGACATCAAACAGATGGAGAGACTTGTCTAATGTCATGATTGAACTTTAATACTCTGATGATATTTTCTGCTTTCCATGGTCCATTTTGGTTCAAAGTGACCGATTTATCTCGAGTCAACAGTTAGTTTGATGCATAAAATACAATCTTAGATCCTTATATTGCTTTTACTCACACATGTGATGGCCTAGCATTCAGTGAACTGCATGACAGAGTTCTCCTGCAAGAGTAATGAAAGATAAAATGGATTTTTTTTTTCTGATTCTCCAAGTGGTCTCAAGTGTTAAATAATATGAATATTTAAGTCTAACATCCTGATTGACCAATGTTGGTTGAATTTAATCCGAAGAAATAATCATTCATTGTTGATTTTACGTTTTTTAAAGCTTTATCTTTATCTATACATTTCTGTATTTGCATGTAACTCAAATCAACATGTATGTTTTTCCCCTAAAAGACAACGGATAACCAGAAGTGTAGGACCTTCAATCCTATGAAGTTTTACATTCAGCATGTGTTTTATTGGTCGATATTTCTTTCTGTAGTTTATCTGGGATTCTCGGTTCAGTGTTGCATCAGATGAAACAAGCAAAAACATCTCCTACAAAACAGACAGGCAAACCTAAAACATGGATGGATAAGGTTGTGGACCACAAAGTATCTTCCCAGTGCAGTCTGGAGAAGACTGGTGCAATCAATTTGGGTTTAGAAGATCACTAGCTCTTATTACAGAACTGTAGAAGCATCTCCCAGTGTGGGTGTAGCAAACAGCCATAGCTAAATGGAGATTAAGGCAACGCTGGAAAGACCCCTTGAAGCCCTCTTAGGCTAGTGGGTGATTTTGGATTTAGCAGTGGTAGCAAGATAAAGGCCTTTCTTCCTGCTTAATTGATGGCTGTAATCCATGTGTTGTTTTAAAAGCCTGTCTCGTTGATGTGTGAACACAAACCCCTGTGGATCTGTGCAGAAAGTGGTGATTTAGAGGGCCAAACTGAGGGTTTCCCACTGATTGGGTGAAGCTTTGTAGATTTGGGATCCTCTGAAATGGCTCAGCGGATGACAAAGATGTTGTTGAGGGTGTAAAAGGGTGTACAATTTGTGTCCTTTTTAGACTCCTATAGAAACAGCATCAGGACAACATTCTTAAATACAAGCATTAATGCCCTTCATGCAGATTCTTTGATAATGTCTTGTGTCACTGTATTTCAATTGCAAATAAATAATTTTTGATTTGCACGATTTCTGCCCAATACATTCAAGTCATATTAAACTGTGTTATCATAGCTGTCATGCTATCTTACACCATATAGTACATTGCTGTGACTCTCAGTCCTGCTTTCTACAAATGTTTGACTTTTGAAAGCCCCCTGATATGTTTCCAAATTTCTGTCATTCTATGTCAGTTGCTCCCTTTTCGACCATGCACGGTACATTTTCAGTGGGAATCGAGTTTTTCCATGAGCGTACAATTATACCAGCAGTACTGTGATTAATGTCTAGAGAGGGATAGAGGCTTAATGAGAAGATCACAGTCATCCCTAAAGTTAGGAGGTGCTTGAACTCCTCAAGGCTTTAGCACAAGTTAAGGAAATCTACTCGTGTACCTCTTGGTCTCAGTCAGAATTATAATATCCTTGCGTTGATTGCTATCATGAATCACAAGTTCTGCTTAATCTCTACAAAGTATGTAATTAACCCTGCACCGATTCAAATCACTCATTATATTACCAAAGATAGGATGTTGAAAATAGAGCACGGTGCCTTATTATATCAGGTCTATACCTTTTTCTGACATGCCTTTCAAAAAATACATCATGAAAAATGATTGTTTCTGTGTTGTTTTTATGCACACATGTTGGTTACAGTTCTACAAATATAATACTATGATGCTGCCAGTAACAGTTATGAAGCAATTCAAACTAAATAGAGTGTAAATCAAGCATTAAGTGGCAGATCTTTGCCTATTCTGGCATGTGCAGGTTGTTACATTCATTTGCAAATTCTAATCTAAATGCAAAAAATTAATTACAGCTATTTTTGCCTCTTGAGAAAATGAATGACCTATTGTTGAAAATATGCTACAAAGTGGAGGAGAGAGAGAGAGCAAAACCTGATTAGCATGGACTTGAGAAATGAAAAGTGGGATGGATGGAAACGAGGACAATTGTGACTGTGGGTGGTGATGGTGTCTGTGTGTATCTGTGCAACGGAAAAACACAGATGAGAACGACACCAGTTGAAGACATTCTCATCATGTTTAATGAGCATGTTTGCACTACTTTAATTGCTCGATACATCTTAACTAGACCAGTATCAGCTTTAGTTTCACTCTTCAACTTTTCCAACTAAATTGCATTCAGTGAGGGTTTATGCTTGCTGCATCATATTTAGTTCATTAGTGTGTTAATGTTCTGGAAAAATACTTTAAAAGTTTACCTTTCAAAGTTTTATATGCCCTCCCTTTTTTAACATGAATTGATGTGCCTGACATGTGCTTAGGTTGCAGTGGTTGAACTGAAAATTAGGTGTCTGTAAAAAGAATATTAGTGTTTCAGATTGAGCACATTTTATTCTTAAATGTGCGTGTGCGTGCGTGCGAGGACTCTGCATGCGTAGAACAGAAACGCTTTTAACTTGCAAACCCAAAGCTGAATCACTTTGATGAGCTGCTTTTTTCTCGCCATTGAAGACATAAAGTAACACACAAACAGGTATTCACACGCCTATAAATACACCAAGACACACACGCACATGCACAGTATGAAGCCAATTTGAAAGGTCATGCAAACGGGGGTCATCAATTCCACCCAATATTTACAGATCTGTTTACATTTACATTATGAAGGGGCTATTTCGCTGACATTTGAAGAATTTTAAAAGAGTTGATTTGTTCACACACTTAGACCATGAATGAGTGTGTGTTTATCACGGCCGCCCTGCGGTGGTTTAATCCCTGAAATGACAGAGGCCACTGCCCAAAGCCAGGGCACATCTGAAATCGGCCACCCGGTACTATAGGTTCAGCAACACAGTACTTATAAGTGCTACTGTACCAACAGTTCAAGCGGCGTCAGCCTGAGTACTTATATTACTTAGACAGACTCAAAGCTCACTGAATATTTCTCTCTTTTGTCATTTCAGCTGTCCTTCGCAGCAACAACCCCAGTTCTGGCAGACAAGAAAAAGTATCCCAACTTCTTCCGCACCGTCCCATCAGACAACGCCGTGAACCCAGCGGTAGTGAAGTTTCTCAACTTCTACAACTGGAGCCGTGTGGGAACCCTCACACAGGATGTGCAGAGATTCTCAGAGGTCAGTGTTCCTTGTTCTTTCTTTCAAGAGACTACATTTTGATGTGTAAACTTTTGCATGCGTGAGCTGTTACAGAGAGCATGCACAGCTAATGAGAGCCACTTTTGATGTATTCTGAAGTACAGCTAGTATTTAGATTTCTCTCCATCAAAAGGCACTGCAACCTCAGTTTTCTCTACATAAAGAAACCAGGTGCCTGTTGTGGCGTGTGCTGGGCCGTGATTAGTTCAATCATTGCATTTTGAGGTTTTAAGTCATTGTGGATGTTGTTTTTTTCAAATGAGTAACATAAATTCAAGAATTCAGTATTATTGAAATAATATATTGCTCAATAATTCGTCCTCAGACAAAAATGCAGTATTTGCATGCATTCAATCAATATTAAAACTAGGGTTGGTAATCTAGAGAAACTAGCAAGACTAAGCAAGATTTGAAAAACATATTCAACCGAAAACCGAGCCAACTGTTGCCAACTCTTTCCTAATGAAAGTAGCTAGCAGCACTGACAGCCCATATACCTTCAGGCCTCCTTCCAAAGCCACTCCCCCAAGATTATCATTAAGACCGTAAACAACGAACATGGCTATATTGTGAAGCTGGAAGACTCCGGTGATGCACAATGAGTGCAGGGGCCGACTGCGTGTAGGAAGGCAGTTATGTGAAGGGTAGGTAGCCCGTCCAATCAGTTCATTCTGGTGGAATGAAATGATTGGATGGGATTATTACAAGTCCTACGACAGCAACATATACAGGATCTATTTCTGTTTTTGACAGAGCATTTGGTTTAATGATTGGTGTCGGGATGTAATGATAATTTTAGCAAATATGACAAAATATGACAGGACAATTTTGCATTCTCCAAGAAAAGGTCCTTTCCTCTATTATACTGAGTGTCAGGCAGCCTTTTACATTGAAATAAATAAGAGATATAATAATCCAAATCATTTATAAATATCTTACAAGTTAAAACCATGTCACACCAAAATGGATGGTAACTAGCGAGACAAAATTGTTCCTGTTTGTGGTTAAACAGTAGTGAAACATACACGTGTCATACCTTTACCGAGCATTTTATCACATCAGCGACACAGGAACATTCAGTTAATAAAAACCATGTCAGTGGTATTGAAAGAGAAACACATTGTGAGCTTTTGCCTCGAGGCCCTGGTTGAAAACAATCTCCTCAGCAACTGGGGGTGGGGGGGGAGGGGGCTGGGGCGTGTATAAGAAGTCTCACTACAAATCTCAGAGAGCCCAAATCCCTTTATCTCTCCCCTCCTGAAAGCACCAAGAGGCTTAGGACGGGAGGGAGACGGGCGGCCCGATTCAATCAACCTGCCACGAGATTGGCCTCTAATCCTGATTTACAAATATGCAAGCATCGCTTCCGTACTTTGATTTGTACAATCCTCTGTCAACTTCACAGCACGTCGGTTTTTGGTTCATCTGGAAATCATGGTGGCATGTAGAAAGACAAATGGTTGTTGCAAAATGCAAAATGCTGTTTGGATACTGCCAAAGAAAACAAAATAACAATACAATGCATTATGAGTTTATTTGGTAACCTTCCTATACTGATTGCATTGTTCCATTTAAGAATAATTCTGGTTTATTTCAATCTGGCGTATTCTCCTTAAATGTGGCTATTGTGACTCTATGGGTTGTGCTTCGTTTGCGTCTCCATCTCCACCTCCGTAGAGATTTAGGAAACGACAACCAAACAATGTGTATTTGGGAGCAAGCTGTGATAGCCTCTTATAGCTTTCCAAATAATTGTTTTTTTACATTTATCATTTCAAACTTGTCTCTGATTCGGACTAAAGATGAACCAGAAAGAGGCCGCAGAAGTAGCCATCGTGGCTAACTGCTTATTGATCTACAGATGTGCTGTTTCCCATGAAGAAGAGGTTAATGTTATGTAACGCTTGTTAGGGATTCAGTCAGGGCCATGCACACCACACACACACACCACACACCCATACAGTGTGATGTCATCTGGAACTATCCCCTGTAAGCTAAAGCCAGCTCGTCACCTCTATTGTTAGACGCTATTGAACACACACACACGCAAGCACACACACACACACACACACACACACACACACACACGCACGCACACACGGGTTGGGAGAGTGGGTGGAGGCTAGGCTAGGTATAGCTAGTGTGAGCTAAGGTATAGCTAAGGTGTCTGTCGACATAACAAACACACATATACACGAACACACACACACACACGCAGAGTAATCAACATTATAGAGATTGCCAGACCGACAGGGCTCAATCAGGAACAGAGCAGCCATCATCAGCCAGTCAGATGACAGACCTGAGAACAGGATTAGGACTCTGTCCTCTGCCTGGAACCCTCTGAGCTCAACTGTTTAATTACACTATGCCTGCTGATAAATTTAGGTAAAGTTACTCTCTCAGCAGCCACTCTCTCCGAGGTCCCTTACAATCTAAAAATTGCTTGTTGGTTGCCGTGGTTTATGCATTACACAAGTTTTCTTAAGCCATCAGCAGCTGTTTGTTAGAAATAACCATGTAATGGATAAATTCCTCTGCAGAATGATTCAGTCATGCGATTTGTACAGGGCATGTAAGGCCACGAGAGGAAGCCATTCGAGGGCTTGTCATCAGGTTGTAGCACAACCGTTTGTCACGCTCGTTTGTAGAAGCACATGACTGGCATTATAGTCTGAACTGTAGGATTTACATGGAGATTTATTTGGCAATGTAGCACACAGTATGAGGGACAGATGTGTAAATTGCATGAAAATGTCCCGTCCTGTGTTTTGTCTGTTTGCTGTACATCTGCATTATAAAGTTTCAGGTACATGTGCGCCAGGCTCAGACAGACAGATGTGATGATAAAAGGCACCTGTCTTGTGTCTATGTGTGACACTAATAAACACACGCACATGCAGTCACACCCGTCACTGCAAAGGGCCTTACGCACATGCCTGGAAATGATGTGTTAATTATTTGAGGTCTCACTGTGTCATGCTGGTACCATCTGAATCATCAAAGCTCCTCACTTACTCCGCATGAGGGCACTCACTTTAGTCTGTCTTTCTGTTGGCTGAAGGGTGTGATTGTTATTTTGGGCCATACATTCCAACTTAAACAAACCTCAGTCAAACAAAGGATTAATGAGTCAGGCATAGACACACTCAACTTATCAGCCCCTCTGCCCCTGCTCTCTCCCTGCGACTAGGGCATTCCGCCCTAATCCCCTGTCAAATCGCCTACTGATCAAAACAGAACATGTCATTTGAAGACATTACCCTACCTGTGGTTTTCGTAAATTGTAACATGCATTTTCTATATTTTTAACGATCAATTGAGATACTAAATCGAAGAATGATAATGACAATAATCCTCAGTTGCAGCCCTGCAAAATATGCAATTCGGTCGAGAGGAATTATTGAATGAACTATGGAATCTTTAATGATGACACAAGCCCACTGCTGTACTGCCAATGCATATTAAAAACATCTGCAACTTGAGAACCAAAGCTCTGAAGACAGAGTTTTTCATTTTCAGTCAGTGGAATGAAAGGCAGCATCCAGAGGCATTGAAAGTGTGGGATGATATTTCATTCTGTCATATACACAAACAATCACAGGGTATCCCTCACCTTCAGCTTAACAATTCATCTTCATTTAGTATGTGATGAATGCAAATCTGCATATAAATAAAGTCATATTATGTTGATGTCTTTTCTAGACACCAATGAACTGACAAACATCTAACTGAGTGCATCTGACATTTTGTCATTTTGTCCATCATGTGTGGGTGTGTACTTACATATTTGTGTGTACATGTGTGTCTGCATGCACGCATGCCCAGAAGTGCAGTAGGATTATTTGTCTTCTGTATTTGCTGCTGGGGATTCCCAGGCTGCCCAGCCAATCGAGGATGTTTTTGTTATGCAGGAAAAGCTGCTCACTTTTTTCCCCTCAATCCATGTCCCCCTCCCTTCCAACCCCTCCTCCCTCGCTCTATCTAACACACTCACTCCACCAGAACACAAATGCATTTGTTTATTTCTATCTCAGTGGCGGAAATGCGAAATCAAACGACGACACTAAAATCCTCTTGTGACAAAGGCTTTTGACATGAATGGCTTTGTGTGTCAACCTTTGTGATGTGGTGCATGTTTACGTGTCTGCCTGTCAGTATGTCTTGTCTTGTATGTGATTGCGAGTTGTTATTCCATTCACCTGTGCGCTCGCTCCAACACACCTCTTCAAACGCCAAACTAACCCGCTGCAACCCTCTATTGTCCATGCTAGTTTCTATTTAGCATTGCAGCAGCCAAGCCTTTCAGATCAACGCTCAGCACAACAGGACTTTGTACCTTGTCCAGACCACCACGCCAATTGTTCCTCGAGTGCAAAACCTGGTTGTATTGATCCACTCCAGCCTCTCTTGTTGTTTCAGCTCAGCGAGCGGTGCATTGGAGGGAATGTCTGTACAGGATTGAGTCATGTACAGAGTGAAGGGGGGCAGACAATTATGACATTTAGAGACATGAGGGAAATAAAGGTGTAGTTCAATTTCATTGATTTGATTGCAGCCATCTTCTAGTCTATTGCATGAAATAGTTGTAATGGCGTATTTTAACAGTAACAAAAGAAAGCGGTGGTGGATTTAATGGTAGTGATAGCAGTCATGGACTATATAATTGGGAATGCTTACTGCTGTAACTTTGTTCACACTACTTCGATGTGCTGTAGCTATTTGTGAAGTGGTACACCTGAAATCCATCTTTTAAATATGAAACACTTACACCATGTAGGCCTAAAACTGAAGCTTGTAGTTTTTGTATTGAAAGAGAACATGGCTTTGGTCAGGTTGAATCTAAAGTTGATCGCAATAATCCTAACTTTTAACAGCACAGACCACAGTAAAATTGTCCATAGAAAATAAACCACTCATTCACCATAATCCACTCTGCTTTCCACTGCAGTATATTCCACAGTTTTATTTTTGTCTAAATAGGGCTAAATGAATAAATATGTTTGCCAGTCAGGATGTTGCTCTCCATTTGTCTCTGGAACTAGTGGAAGTATATGCTGGAGGAGGAATGGTTTGTAAAGTTTCCATGGAGGTTTTGATGCCTTTGTTCTGAGATGATAACCTGTCATTATAAATATTATAAATTCAGGCTGATCCAACCCTCCATTATCTTTCAATGAGGAAATTTCAAGCTAAACATGGATTTTGGATGAAGTCCAACTCAAAGAACAGTGTTTCTATGTATAAAACTAATTCCATTCATAGCCATGGCAGTCCCCAATATGTATTTGAAGCAATATAGGAAACATAAATATGGAAACAACCAATGGCACACGTACGATTACAGACAAATGTAGGGCAAACACACAGGGCCTTCAACTGTTACATGTTGTCTCATTGATGCCCATTTGAGCGCACACCCTCTCTGATGTCTCATCATGGCCCCTAATGCCAAACTCTCGGATGAAGGTGGAGAGGCCGATGGCTGCAGGGCATGGCCGGAGGACATCAGAAAAAAAAGGCCAAAGAGAGAGGACAAGATGTCAACAGTAAACCTCAGTTTGACGTTTTGACGACACAGGCGTAACATTTATAATGTTTGCTTTCCATGGAGTTGATCCCATGCCAGGGCCCTGATATTGTGCATGCTGGCTCATTGTCCTGCCTTACTAGAGCACCTAAATGGAACAGAGCTATCATTAATGGTATCAGTTACAATTGTGCTTTTCCTTCTATGACAAGTCAAAATGTCTGCGGTGAAAAAAAGGCCTTTTCTAAAACTGTAGTTTGAGGAGGGAAGCCAGAGGGATGAATCCTAGTATGTGTGTTTGTTAGGGGAGAGAAAGCGAGAGACAGTTTGATAAACCACATCAAGCTCGCCATCACTGTGGGGTACTTGCTCCATTCTCCTTTTTCTCTGATCCCATTACCCAGCATTCCACTGAACCAATACATCAAAGCAGATGTTCAGTTGCTGCAGATACATTTACAGTACTGTACATTTGTCTTATCTTTTATAAATATATCATTTTCTTTTACCAGTTGAGACAATGCAATGCATAAAATTGTGCTTTCTTGTGTCATTCTGAAAAAAACAAACACATATATGTTTGACAGATGTTACAATCCACATTGAACAGAGAGAGTTAAATCATAATGATGACGTTTTTGATGTCTTCCGTAGCAATATGTCTGTCATGCTGTGATGTTAAGATGCTTGTGTTTCTGTCTTTCCACTCACAATTTAAGATACAGCATTCAGACACAAGCTCGAAACATTAAATAGCCTGCATCTATCTATCTTGTTTTGTACATACTGTATACACATTACTGTATATACATTGTATACAGATATAAGATCTAAAAACTTGAAGTATTATTGTTAAGAGGTGTATGGGAAATTGTCAGCAAGATATCCTGTGATGGTTTTGTTTGAAAAATGTATTCAAACATTTTTGTTTTGAACAAAAGGGTTCTACTTATATTTCAAGATCATAGTCGGAGTTAAATTAAGTAAGCAGAAATATATATGCTTATTTAATCAATCATACTCTATTAGCTTTTACTTCAACCTCATCGATTGTTTCTCGTGGAGTTTACAGCTACTGGAAGTAAGTTGATTATCTAAAGCTCATCAATGGATTCACGCATTTGTTTTGAATGGCAATCTTTTTGATTACATGAATGTTTTTTCCCTGCATTTCCCCCACTTTATCCTCAATTGTGAATGGCCAGTTATGAATCAAAAAATAATGTCAATCCATGTGACAAGGAACGTGTAGGACAGTTGTCTTTTTAGACGACAACCAGGAAGTTCCCGGGGGAGTGTCACCCATAAAGGTTCATACCGTGAACAGAGCAATGAACAAATTACATGGTAAATTATCAACGCCTTCTCTCTCTCTCTCTCTCTCTCTCTCTCTCTCTCTCTCTCTCTCTCCCCCCCCCGCCTCTTTTAGGTGAGGAATGATCTAACTAATGAGCTGGAGAAAGCAGACATTCAGATTGCAGATACAGAAAGTTTTTCCAATGACCCTTGTGTCAATGTCAAGAAGCTCAAGGTAAGTCATCATTCCTGAACAATTCAAACTACGAATAAAAAAGTCACATGATTCAAGGTTTATTCGGATGAAAGAGATGAAGAGAGTCACAATTCTACTTGTTTCTTTAATACTGTATTTGTGTATGAGTTGATGCCATCCAAAGTCAATCTTGGACAATGAATACGTTGTCAGAGAATTGTCCATCTTTGACTGTATAGAGCAGGGCAGCTTAACAAGGACACTGTATTGGCTGGTACACATGCATACAGGGTTTATTTTTTCTTCTTCTTCTCTCTTTTAACATTTAATGAGACAGGACAGAAGTAGACCATTATTGGGCCAATATTGAGATGTTAGACCTACATATCTTCAGCCATTTATTCCTTGTACTAACATGCATGGTTGATCAGATCATTGCTTTGATGTAGCAAAAATGCAAAAGAATCAGATGTAAATGCAGTCAAGTTTGAAGGCTAAATTATCCAAACTCTCTCCACAGGCAGACAGTGTTGCTTCTGGCCTCAGTTGTATTTGAACAATGAGTCAGTGCCGCATATTGTTTACAGCTGAAAATGTTGTCAATGGAAGTAAATCAAATACATGACCCGGTGTCTGGTGCAGCTTTACTGGCAACATACAAGGTTTCAGTGTAAAGGAGTCTAAATATATTTGTTCATAGGAAGTTACGTAGCACAGTGAGAGAAAAGATGTAAGAAGCGAAGAAAGCAGAGTTGGAGAAAGAAAAAAAGTGGAAGATATGACGTATGCAACATGGAGCAGGTTGAAAGAAATGCAACAGAGAGGTGATAAGACAGAGGGATAGAGAAGGAACGGCGAGATAAGCTGTCTTTCCCAAAATATATGTGTAACTCTAAATGTTGAGGGCTGACATTGTAAGCTGACACCATCCTTCCTTGATCAACTCTAAATATTCAAATCACAGTGTTGCCTCGAAAGCTTTTCAGAACGTTTGGAGAGGGTGGGCGGGGGCCACTCTGACACCCTAATGGTCCGTTTCCCTCTCTTCTCGCAATAGCAGTTTTCTGTCTCCCTGACAGCTACGTAATATGATGAGGTAGAGGGTGACACAGATTCCGTTGTGAAGCCTGTTCTTTTTTGTTTCTCTGTTGTGTGATTGTATATGTCCGACTGTGTGTGTGTGGGGGGGATAAGGGGGCCATGGCGTCACTGTGTGATCCACAAATAGAGCACTTACATCTGTGATCCAGCTGGAATATTCAAAAAGCAGACAGGCATTTCTGCTGCGAGGTATCGAAGCAGCCTTCAACATTTCTTCGTCGATTTCTGCTTTTTCATCTTCATCTCTTCTTCTCTCCTGTTACTGGACAGGCTGACGAAACAACATCAGAAAACAAAGGCAGGCCTACACATGAAACCCCCATACGTACCTTCTAATTTTACCCACAATCAAGTTTTTTTTCTTCTTCTAATTGAACATTAAAATAACAATGATAGCATACATTTTATAGACCAGGGCTTTTCAACATTTTTGGTGACTGAAGGTCAATTAAGGGAGCTTGCATTCGATAGAGGGCCACATGAGAATAAATGTCCTGAAATCTAAATTAAGTCCAAAACACTTTATTATTTATCATGATTGAATTATTCATCATGCATTCAGGACTCTTACCCCGCAGATATGACGTAGGAAAGGTCCATTTCTTTTTAAACATTTTTTTGTCTCACTGATGCAGCAATTTTGGCATGACAAAGGACCATACATACATGTATAACTTTCAATATTATTCTCAAATATTGTTCTTATGTAAAACTTTAACTTATCCTTTGCTTAATACATAATTTGAAAAGCAGCTATTTCCAATTTCAGAATTCAGTGTTCCCCTTGGGTTGTGAATGTATTTGTGGTGGTCTGAGCACACATATCCACCTTACCTCTTTAGCCCTGTTGGTACTGTTTATTGGCCATGATTTAAACATATAATAAACTAATAGACTCCCGGTTGTAAACAAAACTTGTCTTTAATACAGAATGAGTTTTGCTTGCTGCATTGTCTTGTGGGAATGAAAAGAAAGAGGACAAGGCTCAAGACAAATGGTTTGCACAGATATTATCATTATAAGTTTGTCCATTTCATATTATCTGTTATTGATAATATCATCAGAGCTGCAGTTCCTGTAATCTGCAGTGTTTTTCTCTGATGAAGCACCTCTGCTTGTCCAAATCCCTAAATCCCACCAGGTTCCAGGAAGAATCTCTCACTGTTAAAACAGAAAACACGGTCCTCCTTCCACCATATTCTAGATGTGAAACTCCAACGGTTAGCAGACTGTGTTTGAGTTTGTTGACAAGGTCAGAAATGCTCAGATATTATGACGCATACTGACAAACTTTTATTTTAAAGGCCAGTTCAGATAATAATGCCACATATGTGTTCATAACAGTATGTATAACATGTATTGCTCACATGTTATACATCAATTAGCGATCAAACACAAATCTGTATGCACAGAAATCATTACAAACAGACATGAGGGGAGATGGTTTAGGTTTAGTGTGGAAGTAGCAACACATTGCCAGTCTACAAATCCCATCTCCCATAAGCTCATAAAAACGACCATCATTAGTATGTGTGTGTGTGTGTGCGCCTAATAAGCCTTAACAGTGCCTGATCGGGCTTATAAGGAACAGTATTACTGAAACCATTATCACGTATAAATCACCATCATAAAGTTACAAACAACCCTGTCACGGGTAAAGCAGGCAAGGCTGCCCTTAACACTACCCTCTTTGAAAGCAATTATTGTTATAGTTATATAAAAGCTCAAGCAACAAGGGTGATGTGGAGCCCTGTAGTGACCTAGTCCATCTAGATAAACAAACACAACACACTCACTCATGCCCTTGCACACCATACACAGTCTTTTCATGTTTTTGCCAGGCAGGCCAGAATTTATACTGATATTGTGGTCCTACGCCGTGGCTGGAGTCATTTGGGTTAAGTGCCTTTCCTCCAGTGTAGGGCAGTGTTATTGAGCAGCCAATTGCACTTTACACACACACACACACACACACACACACACACACACACACCCACACACACACACACACCACTTAGGGCTTCTTACAAAAGACCCCTTTAAATGTCTCAGAATGCTTTCTGGCTTTAATAAGAAACCACAAAAGAAGCCTTTAGATTGAACTGCTCAGCTTTCTGAAAGTTTTCATATCTTTAGTGTGTGTGTGTCTCCCATATGCAATGCTAGAACCTATATAGATAATTCTGTTTTGAAAGAAATCTTAGGGTTGCAGGTAGCACATTAGCATCTATCAGACCAACAGAAAGATAGATATCCACCTATTCATCCGTCATCATATATCTAACTAATCTTTCTGATTTCTCTATATAATATATATCCAGTACATCCAATCTATTTAGAGGAATAACTACATTGTTTGGCTGTTGGGTAGCTCCTTGTGTGTCTAATCGCCTAGAGGAATTGGATTTAAAATGACAGTGATTGGTTGCCCCCTCTGATTTGTGGATGCATGACATATGGTAGTGCTTGCCTGAGGGAAGATGACTTCATGAACTGTATTCGTAATGGCTTCTCATTATCCAGAATAAAGGCAGAACACTATACAGTAGGTTCATTGAAAATACAGCTGGTGTGTTTATTAGACAACTGTCGGTGAGTAATACCAAAATGTTAAAGTAGGTCCACCATTAAATTCTATGTTTTCAGATTTCCTTTTTTGTTGTTAAATTGCTTCTAGATTTGGTGTCTTTCTGTATGAAGTGCCGTGGTTGAATAAGGGCTTTATGATAGACTTTTCTCCATCCATCACACATCACCTCTAGCTTTGTTGAGCATATGTTGATTCATCAAACCTGTGTCAGTATTATTGGATTAGCTTTGGGGCAATGTTGCACTGTAATGTGTGCGTTTGTCACCATCCACTTGTGTGAACATGTGTTCATACAGGCCTGTGCTTGTGTTTGTACAGTACTATACATACGCATGTGCACACTCAATTATTTTGTTGGTCCCAGAGTCTGATTTTTTTTTTTCCCAACATGAAACATGCTGCACTTCCACCCGGGCAATCTGAATTATTTACAGAGTCAATCATCAGGCAGTGTGCTCTCCGAATCTCCATGTATATCTGTGCTGGTTGGCAAATAAAGCAGTTCTGCTCCCTGACACTTATGTCTCTGTTGTTATGGATCGACATTTTGCGACTCAGCCACTGCTTCAGTGATGCAGTACAAGCCATTTCAAATATATGCTTTATATTTACTGTAGAAATCTGTGTGAGCATGGTGCTCATATTTGCCATTTTAGTCATGAAGTGTTATTCTTTATTTTTTCAGGACAACGATGTTAGAATAATCATCGGCCAGTTTGACGAGAACCTGGCATCCAAAGTCTTCTGCTGCGTAAGTCCTTAGTCTAAATTCAGTTATAAGTGAAAGCTGTCAGATATCTTGCCAAGTAATTCAAATCTTGTTTGGTGTACAATTGGTTCAGTGATTGCGGTTACATAATTTGGCTTTATATGGTTTTGGCTCATGTGCAATGTTTTGCTCTTGTTGCTTAGTTCATGATTTCAGTATTCTCAGTTTTCTAGCAGCTCACATAATAGTAATTACACAAAAGTTCATCTCCATATATTATACTGTATCTCCTGCTGTTATATTGCCTCAACTTCCAGTCTTTTTTCTACCCCTTCCCAGGCATATAATCTTAACATGTTTGGCAGTAAATACCAGTGGATTATCCCCGGCTGGTACCAGGGCAACTGGTGGGAGCAAGCCAACAGCACCAACTGCACCACCAAGAAGCTGCTCACAGCCATGGAGGGATACATCAGTGTGGACTTTGAGCCACTCAGTGCTCGCCAGATTAAGGGCATCTCTGGCAGGGTGAGTGACACCCACTGTTATACTTCACAGGAGTGTTGTGTTAAGTAATTCAATGTGTCATTAAATGTTATGTCAGTTTAAATAAAACAAAGGGAAAAAAATATACAGTACCAAGAAGGTGATCTTCTACAACAAGTTTTTTCTGTGTCTGAATATATAATATATCGCAAGCATATATACCATTTCCACAAAAAGACACTTTAGATGCATGTTTTTAAACCAGAGATCAATCTTGGGATTTATTTTCACACTGCATTACCCTGTACCGTAGCATTGATGCTAAAACAGCATTTCCAGTAACTCTCAGGGTTCCCATGCGTCCTGGAAAACAAATTTTCCAATCTTTGAAAACTCATAGAAAATGAGAGAAAATTATCCTAAAATGTCATGTAAAATCTTGTGTTGTTCTGGAAAATTATTTCAAAATTCTCTCATTTACCTTTAGCTGAGAATGAACGAGTAGTGTATTATATCAGAGCTCCCCACACGGATAACAATGCCATCTGAAAAGACAAAGTAATGTTCAAGATCGTAGTATTGACGGGAGTATTTTGAATAGGAAGCTCTCGGTTATGTTGTGATAAACGCAGACATTACACAATGTTGCTTTCTTCCCAGCTTGTTTTAAATGACTAAATTGGTTGGCATGTTTGGCTTAGTTGCTAAAATTGATGTGCTTGCTGGTTTTGCCTGCAAAAGTATAAGGTTTGTGATTAGATTCTGGCTTGGAGCAATGGTTTCAAATGTGTGTTAAGAGAGTTGAATAATAATGAATGGTAAGCCAGGGCGAAAACAATAAATGGGAGCTCAAAACACAGGCTGGATACAGGACTATTTTACTTAATTTGTAGTATTGTCTCCTCAAACGCATTGCTGCTTTTTTAATGTAAAATGAACCATAACATGACATGAAATGTTTATCTTTTATAGTGGTAGCTTCACAATAAAGCTGTACATCTACCGGCATGGTTGCATTACATTCTGATCATTTCTAAGCATGTTAAAGACTATTTCATAGATGAGTCATAGCCATAGATTGCACGTCTTTTAAATTAGACTTCTACAGCGAGGAACACATTAATGTATGCCGTGATCCTTGTCTGTCATACCAGCTAGATCACTGAAAATGTCCAAGAAAAATCCTGGAAAATGATAATAAAAGAGTGGGAACTCTGACTTTGCATCAGTTTGGAGATGCACATTTTCTCTTTCTAATCTCTTTTTTTTACCTGTCTTTCAGACCCCTAAGGACTACGAGAGGGAGTACAGCCGAGAGCTTCAGCAGAAAGGTGTGGAGGCCAGCAAGTTTCATGGCTTTGCCTACGATGGGATGTGGGTCATTGCTAAAACCTTGACTCGAGTGATGGAACTGCTCCGGGTAAAAAAACGGCAGAACACCTACCATAACTTCACTGTGGATGACCGCGAAGTGGGAAAAATGGTGCTGGACGTCATGAATGAGACCAACTTCTTTGGTGTTACAGTAAGTGAAGCAGCAAATTGCTAATTTTTTGTTTTTTAAATATGGACATAATGTATAAATATGGCACAGTCTGACATGTTGGTAGTTAAATAGGTTTCTCTTCCTTCACTCACTAAAAAAATGTAAACTGAGCAAGCAGAGCTCCTATTGTCTACACAAGGATACTCCCCAGACACTATACTGTACATCTACATTTACATGTGCATGCAAGAAAAATGTTTTTTGTTAATATTGACGAGGGATATATACGGTACAGTGAGGGAAAAGAAGAAAGACACTCATTCAGTCAGTACATACAAGATCAAAAACATGGTTTAAAGCCACACAATCAAAACACCACATAAAATGTTACCACTGATGAAGGACATCCATCTGTGTCTATGCCTATAAACTATATATGTTCTATGTTTGTACAGTATGGAGTTGGCAAAATCAAAATCAAGAAACGCATAGAGGCATCAATTACTGCTCTGTAAGGCTGGAAGCTTGTTTGCAGAGAAGGTTACTTAGCTATCCTTGTCTCTGGATGACGCCTAAAGTGGTGTCATTTGGTGCTGCCGACTCACTCCAATGCATTCAAGATTGATCCTGGTGGCTATGCTATCTACAGGCTGTATGTATGTGTGTGTGTGTGCGCGCGCCTGTGCATGTGCTCACTCTTGCTGCTGTATTGAGCTGTTAGAGGAGATCTCCTGTTTCTGTGTAAAGGACACTCCCATTATTTGAGGATACCATGCTGCTACCCGCCTAGACAGCCAGTAGGCATGCAGGGCATTACTCATATCATATTCACAACTGTTTTCAAACAAATGGCCAAAAAAGGAGGAGAAAAGAGAGAAAGATTGGCTATACTGGAATATTAGGGAGGTAATAAACACTTACTAAATGTAGAAAGGTGAGAGACTGAAGTCAGGGTGGAACACAAGAGAGAAATGGATATAATATGATATAAATACAGATACAGTGTAGTTTTCAACAGAACAAAAGAGAAGAAAAGAAAGAGAAAACAGCCTTGAGAAAATCAGTACAAGAACTGACTGATGTTATTGTGAACTCCTCTTTGGCTAGTGTCCCTAGAGGTGTATGTGTGTTGCAGAACTCTACCTAATCCTTCGGGTCGTCATTCCTCACCCCTCTACTCAAGACTCTCAGACCAGGGCTGCTGATTAGGACCAGGCTGACATTGAGTCTTTCCTCAGAGACTCGGGGATGCAAAGCCGTGCAGGAATATTGATGGCCATGTAGCATTTCATCCACGTTTTACTCGCGTCACACAAATGGATAATGAAGTCCTGTTAGGTTGGTTGGATAGAATAGCAATCCTCTTCTCTCCGGTCCTTAATATTAGTATTGACTCATATTGATTCTACACATGTTGCCATCAGTGGTGAAAGAAGTCCTTTACTTGAGTTTACTGATGATACCACAGTGTTTAAATACTTCATTAGAAGTAAAAGTCCTGCATTCAGATTTTAAACAAGACAGTGAGAGTGTTGATTTTGAGAGTTTAGCTTTACGTAACAACAAGAAGTAATGGGAAATGGACATGGTGGTAATTTGACAGTAAATCTGATTGCTCTTGTTTTGCTGAGGTCCTAAAAAAAAATCTAAATTCTCATTATAATGATGCGTTTGTTTTTTACAACCACAATCCTGATTGGTATGAAAAAAAATCTGAGATAGAATCGTGTGCATGTGGTAAACAATACGTGGTATAAATACAGCGGCATTGCAAAATAATTAAATGCATCTTTGTGCCCAAAGATTTGACATCTGTTCACTATTGAAGTTGCTCTTTTAGGAGATACATGAAATGAGATCAAAAGTGTTCCCTGTATGTAGCACACCTAGTACATAGACACTTCCACCCATGCATGACCAACAAAGACATAGGAAGGCAATTTCCCTTCCACACTGCATACATCTTTTATGCTATTTTCGTATTCAGATTTCAAAAGGGGCTATTACACAACTCATTCGGTTTGCTTGTGAATTGCAATGACTCCTACTGGGTTTCCAATACAATAAATCCATGTGTAGTGGAATTGCTGCTTGCCCTTGGTTTAAATGTGTGCATGCGTGCTTGGTAATATGGGATCACACCTTGACATGAGCCTCGTGTCTCTCCTGTTGTCACGATTTTACGCCGTGTGTTTGCTGTGTAAACACACAGGTCTCATGGGACCAAACCATGTCCATTCTGCACTGATCTCAGTCCTGCTGCTGAATTCTTAACAGCCGCAGCAGGAGAGTGATCATGGAGGGCTTCACAGTATTGATCTGGCTGCTGTCAGGGCCATAGAGAAAAAGGCTGACATTAGCTGGGAGAGACTTTCAGGGCACAGAGAGTGCAGATAGCTGCTAGAACCACAGGATGATGTACACTGGAATGTACCCCGGAGGGCTGATGGGAAGAGAAACAGCATATTGTGCGGGAAAATGTTTGCGTTGCTGTTTTTAAAAAATAAACTGTGGTCAGTGGTCATCGTGTTGGTATCAGTGTCTTTCTGGGTAATGGTGAGTAGCACAACCCGAGGCTTGACAGTCATCTCAAACAGCCACACGGAGGTAAAACAGAGGGGGGAGAGTAACGTGCATTTGTTTTTCACTATTAATGTGTGTGTATGCGTGTGCATCACAGTTACATTCACATTGACAGGGTTTCCAACTCAAACCCTGAAAGCCCGGAGGATGTCACACCCGCAGCCCACAGACTGACATTTCATTTGACCTCGGCACACCTGTCACTGACAGTATTCTCACCTCCTCAGCCAAAGTGAGATACCTGGCCGCCTCCACCGTCTCACCTCAGAAAGTCACACACACACATGCATGCACGCCTAGACACAGTGATTGCTCTATCAGCCAACATTGTGACTCAGGTCTGAACATCCTTTGAATAGTAGACAAGCGACACCTGTCTGGGTCAATACACTCCAGTGAGGTTGCCTGAGTTGCAGAGGAGCATAATATCTTGTAGAAAGAGGGCTTTACAGTAGCTCCTTTGAATATTGGTCATAGGAGGTTAATTTAATCTGTGTCGCACAGACATTTATTTGCAATTAAGAATGTAAGAGTGAGTGCCTCTGCATATGTTTGATATACTTTGCATATTCTCCAAACCGTGTATACACTTGAGAGAACAAATTGGGGGCTGTTAAAATAACTACACGCCATTTCATTAAGGTTTGTGTTAGCTCCCCTTTTGCTGATGTGAAGGGCAATTATGGCGGCAATGCTAATGCATAGCGAGAGCATTATGATGAAGCTAGCTACTCTAGAAACCTTGACACATACGCTCACAGTCATCAAGTCAAGTTGCCCTATTTTCATCCCACATTGTCTGACCCTGTTTACGCACCACAGTTATCTGAATGTAATATCTAATGAGCTGAACCAGGGTGCACTGCACTGTCCTACTTATACTACAGGCATAATCGCATAGCATATTGTAGTAAAGAGCAGTGTGTGACGAAAGGAAACTTGTTAGTGTTGACAAGTCAGATTGACACTGGGGTGTGAAATTGTTAGCAGAGGATCTGGCTGTATATCACCAGGGTAAAGGCAGCACTGGATGCCCTGTGTCTCAGAAGTAGCTTGTTCTGCTCACACAAATGCATCATCAGGGATAGGGCCACATGCATGCACATACGCATAATGTGACAACATATTAAGTGCATGCACACTGACATCAAAGATGACGCACAAAGCCTGGGATTCAAACAGAGGGGTGGGATCCTGCTCTGCTACTTCAAAGCGTGCCATCTTTTTGAGGCAAAATTGGCTCTCCAGCTTCCTTCCCCACATTCCCCCCTCAGCTGTCTTTTAATCAGCTAATGCAAATGCTCCATCTCTAAATATATCTCTATCTGTCTATCTATCTATCTGTTTATCTGTCTATCTGTCTATCTATCTATCTGTCTGTCTGTCCCACTCTCCACTCTCACCTGTTTTGTTAGCCAGACAGTAATATGTGAGCCCAGTTAAATGTGTAATTATGGAGCTCTGTTAGCAGATGGTTGGCTGAATTAATTGAACAGTCTTGGTAGATGAAGAGGGAGAGAGAGATAAAGAGACAGGGGGGAAGGAGAAAATAGAACAAGAGAGAGGAAGACTGAGAATACATGGGAGAGATAAGGCGACAGAAGCCAAATTGATTTGAATATGTCTCACAATATTGCCACAAAGTTGAATTGCTTTTGTCTACCTTGTCTGCGTTTGGCAGACGCTGCCTGGCTTGAAATTGCTGTCTCGTTCCTGTTGAGTTCAAATCAAAGACGTCCAATTGTTTTTTCTATCGGGTGGTTGATTGACCGAAAAAAATTAATATTTTTGTGGAGAAATTCACGTTGACCAAACAAATCGTCACTACATTTACTGACCACTACACACTTTTCTGAAGCCAAATGTGAGTCTCACAGTTGCCTTTTAAAGACTCATATCTGTACAAATGCTATGTGAGCAAACATAATGTTAAATCAAGCAGCCTTGCTGACCTGACATGGTTCCAAAGATATTAGCAAAAGAATTTGCTCAAAGATAATTTTGTTTTACCTCCTATGAACAGATCAATCTTGGCAACTTCTAATCAAATGAGATGCAGTGTGTGCAGGAGCCAAGACTCTGCCCTTTGTCTGACTCCTAGAATCAGGAAACTAAAGTTTCTACTGAAATTCACTGAACTGCTGACGCTGCATATTCTTCAGCAGAATAAAATGTTTTACCACTTAAAATATATTTTAAGTTATAGAATGTGTGTTTCCAATGTTTTACGTGTTTGGTTTTTTTTTCCTTCTTTTTAGGGCCAAGTCATGTTTCGGAACGGAGAGAGGATGGGCACAATCAAATTTAACCAGTTCCAAGGTATGAGTGACACTAATACTACTCTACTCCTCACATTAACCTGTCTTCATTTTCTGTTCTGGTTTTGCTAAGTCAGTTGTATATATTGTTTTTAAAGCTTTACCTTTTGATCAATCTATCAATCTTAAAGAACTTTGTTTTGCCGCCTCCGGCCATCCACACTTGCTCTTGAGACTCCACTGAGTTGGAGTTAGAATTAGTTCTACAATTTGTTTGAATTCCAGCCACTGCACACATCTGTGTTCAATAAAACCTGCAATTGTTTCAGAAATGTTGCAGGATTACCAGAGTTTTTGGAAAGCCACTTACAATTTTTCTCGAGCCAGAAGGCTGCCACGGTTGATGTACCCAGTGCCGATAATGGATCCTGACCAATACAGCTTAGGAAAAGCTTGCAGCAGGGTCATACAGTATACACAGGAAAGGGAGGCTGAAGGATTTCACAGTTTTCAAGTCAGAAGCTTTGTACTCACATTTATCTCATTAGTTGTTTTTCTAGAGAGGTTAGTCATTATTCGCTTGACTGCAAGGGTTGTTTGTCAGAAAAATATGAAAGATTTTAGACTTTTCACTTAAAATCCCCACAAGTCTTTATGTAAGGAGTTGCCCGACTCTCTGTGTCTGTGTGGGGGCAGGTTAGGTGAATCTAAAACTTGAAAGCATAAGGCCCATGGTGCTTTACTGTGCTTGATCTCCTCCGTGGTGACAGGATTTATCTCTGGACTGTCAAAGTTTGTACATAAAAATATACTCTATGTCCTCGTAGCATCATCCTGAGGTGATTTTTGAGCCAGCAGGGCCTGCTGAGTGGGAGAATAACCAAGAGATTGCATCTTGATGCAGGGGATTCCCAGCTCCCAGGCTCCCCAGACTGTATGTAGCACACTGCATGGTGCTGTTCAGTCCTCTCTGCCTAACCATCTTATCTTCCCCAGTGCAGAGGGACTTGATCCCTCTGGCTGCATACATCACACTCTGTGTGTGTGTGTGTGTGTGTGTGTGTGTGTGTGTGTGTGTGTGTGT